CTAACCAGGCCTGCTCTGAATGAACCCTGCTGGCTGCTTTTATTTAGCATTTTGTTTTCAGTCATGTAGATACAACAGAAGATGCTTATATGCAGATGTGCTGTTGTTAGACCTACTTTCTATACATATGGGAGGTGACACATCACTTTTGTTCTTTGTACTGTAAGTGAGGGCCCAGTTAGATTTATGGGACAATTTTCAGTTTCTGGAGATGGGTCAGGATGAGTGGATGGAAATTCTCCCAGCATATAGTAGGTTGGTGTCTGGAATACTGCTAGGCGTCCTACAGTGTATATAGGCGTCATACAGTTCTATGGCCCCTTGGGGCTAAGGTTCGCCTTGATGCAACTCCTAAGAATGCTGAGGTTGAGAGCACTGTGTTGCAGAATGCTGATAAGACACCTGGACAATGTATGAATAGAAACTCCATTGAAAATGAAAACAAAGCCCAGGAGGCACCCTAAGGTGCTTATGCTATGGGAAGGAGCAAGGACTCACAATCCAATTCCTGACCTAACTATCATACTTGCGGGAACTCAACTAAGTCTACCATTTTGCTTCAGCTTACTCATCACAGGGCTATCCCAGAATTACTGTAATGGCTCCACAAGGTTAGACACAGTATCTGGGACAGTGCTAGTGCCCAGGAAGCATTCTCCCATGTGCTAGCTATGGTTACTGTTACATGTACTCCAGAGAAAGCATGGATTATAGCATGCGCTTAAAACAAGGTGGATTCATGACTGTAGAGATGGCTCGGCAGTTAAGAGCACTTAACTTTGCAGAAGACCCGGTTCAGTTCCAGTGGCAGACACACAGACATCTGTAACTCCAGTTTCAGAGGATCTGAAGCCCTCCTCAGGCCCTGTGGGCACCAGGAACAGACATGGTACATATACACACATGCAGGCAAAGCCCTTACATACATAAAGCAAAAATAAATACATCATCATTTTAAAAGCAGATGTCTGGGGTTGAACTGTTATGTGGACCAAGAGCTCCCCCAAAGCTTAACAGAGTTACATCTCCTAGGTTCCTGCCCAAATCCATGCCAAACAAGCCAAGAGGAACCTAGGCATCCTTTCATCTTTTAGTCAATTGTTCATACATAGCTAATGCACAACTGTCATAAAGACAGAGAGGTTTTTAAAATTAGCCTACTTGTATTGGCAAGCAAGAAAACCACATTGGGAAAAAACTAATCTTAAATCTATTCAAATACTGTTTTAAATATCTGAAATACCTTCTGTATGTTCTCCATACTGTGGTATAAGTTGGAGAAAGAAGGATAAAACAGAGACTATTTACATAAGAATTCCACTCACAAACACAGCAGAGACGGCACAATGGTTAAAAGCACTGGCTGCTCTCACAGAGGACCAGGCTCAGTTCCTAGCACCTCAATGGTGGTTCACCACCAACCTTAACTCCAGTTCCAGGGCATCTAAAGTCTACTTCTGGCCTTTGTAGGCACCAAGCATGCATGCAGTGCACATACATACGTGCAGGTAGAACACTCATATACATAAAATAATCATTCCAGAAGCTTCTCTCTTTTTTGTGTGTGGGGATCTTGTTCCTCCCAGCCTGACCTGAAATCATGAGGCTTGTTCCTTTCCAATAAGAGGCCTTCCGGCTCTCTCCACACATGTAGAGTGTGTTGTCTGAGAGCTCTTCATGACATTTACTTCTCAGTACCACAGGGTGTCACTATTGAAAACTTGCCTCCCAACCAGGGATGCTGGCTGTTCTTCATGGAGTCTTTGCTCACCAACAAGAATCTCAAGCCCCCTTTGCTTCTTTAAGGGAGAAAATCATGACCTGAACCCCAGAGTCAAATTCAGGGAAAGTGTTGGTCTTTTACATCCCAGACTGCATTTTTTTTTTTTTTTTTGTTTTTCGAGACAGGGTTTCTCTGTGTAGCTTTGTGCCTTTCCTGGAACTCACTTGGTAGCCCAGGCTGGCCTCAAACTCACAGAGATCCGCCTGGCTCTGCCTCCCGAGTGCTGGGATTAAAGGTGTGCGCCACCACCGCCCGGCTAAGACTGCATATTTTGATGCTCACACCTTCAAAGGGACAGTTACTATCATCTAATTCTTTATCAGCTCTGGGACTGGGTAACTCAATACCTGTCATGGAATCAATCTCCCTCTATCCAATACAACTGGTTATCTCTAAACATAAAGCTAAGGCTATACCCGTTTTTTCTAATTATTTTTTATAACCAAAGTCCCTGATGAACCAGATTTAGAATTTTCACTGGCCTCCTCCATAGATGATTTTGAAAGATATACATATTGTGGAACTGGCAAGTTTGTGTTTAATGAGATGCTATTAGGTGAAAGAAGCAAAGAGAAGGATGCCTAGGAGACTCGGGGGTCTCTGGCTTCTATGATTTGATGGGTAGGACTCATTCTCTGAGAAGGCCAATTAGCAGCATCTGTAATTTCTGCTTTAGATTAATTTTTTAGTGAGCCTCAGTGTGGACTTTGGTGTAACTTTTCCTTAGAGGCTATTTGCATTGTTTAGTTTTTCTGGGCTTGGGAATTATCTTAACTTCATCTCATGTTGCTTTGATAAAATATCCAGGCAAAAACAGCTTAGGGGACAAAGGGCTTATTTTAGCTCAGAGTTCTGTGCTATGGTCCATGATAGCATGGAAGTCCTAGGAACAAGAGCTGGAGGGAGTGGATAAAAATCATCTACACTCCGTAGCTGGGAAAAATTAATGTCCCTCTGCCTAGGCAATGGTGCCACCCACAGTGAACAGGTCTCCCACCATGGTTAACATAATGAAGGTAATACCCACTTCATTGATATTCTCTTCACAGGTGTTCCTAGATTGTGTCAAGCTAACAATTTAAGCCAATGCACTATCTAAGAAGTAGATGAGCCCAGCTATAAGGAGGTTATAATATAGAGGATGGCTGGACCCAGATGCTATCACTTCAGCCAAAAGACTGATGAATATCATGATGACTGATCCACAAGTAGGGTTTTAAGAGGAAGAGATTCATAGAAATAATCCATAATGTTGGTTTGCCACAAAGGGAACAGGAAGTGGGTTTGGTGATATATCTGATTCTAAAATGTAACAGATTACACGTGCACACACAATCTATGCAATTATGTTGCCTCAAAAATTAAAAACAGTTTTACAGAATCCAAGCCTGGTGACATAAGCCTGTAATCCCAGCCCTTGGGAGATAGAGACAGGAGTTCAAGACCAACTTTAGCAACATAAAACGTTTAAGAGTAGGTTGAATTATATGAGATCTCCTCTCTCTCACTGTGAAAATGTATTTTACAGATGAGTGCCTTGAAAGTCTCATTCCCACTCCAAATTTGTCTGCTCAGTTCTCTCCCTTACTGGCCTTGGCTGTTTCTCCAAGTTTCTTACCTGGCCCTTCCCCGAAGTGTATTTCTATCCCAATACAAGACAAAAAAAAAAAAATACAAATTTGCCTGATGGTTTCTCTCCTTGATTCAGGAGAGCTATGCTGTTTGAAACATTATTCTGCACTCTGCTTTTTTTTTCCCATTTAACCTAGCAGAGAGCTTTCTAATCCAGGTGCCTGAGGCATGTTCCAATACAAAGGAACAATAATCCCAGCATACCTGCTCTACTGGAGACCAATAAGTGCAGAGAAAAAAAAAACATTGGAGGCTTGCTTTGACTTTCAAAAGTAAGGTTACACAGACCTGAAATGCAAAATAAATGTCATTTGATTTACATCATATTTCAAGGACAAATATTTGCAAAAGAAAGGCAAGCATTTTCCCTGATGGAGAAATAAATATCCCTTTATTAGCCATTCTTCCAGTATTTACTCGGGTGTGCATTGTTCCAGCCTTGGCTAGATGCTGTGGGGAAGCATAAGCAAAGCAGATGGGTCATTTGCTCTGGTCTCTGTGTCAACAGTCCCTTCAGGGTAACACAGTGACAGCTTAACACTCACGGCCACAGTAGCCAAGCAGGCAATCTTCTTCATGTGATGGCCTAGCCTTTCCCTTGCTTAAATGTCTTCAGTGTCCTCACTGTGTTCAAGGTCAAGTCTAACCCTTTCTCTTGGCTCCCCCAGGCTTTGGTGTGAACTTAGCTGGTGTCTCACCTTCCCTGGCTCCTTCTGCTTCCTTTGCCCTCTCTAGCCTTACTGGATGTCCCCTGTGGTTAAAAACAAGCAAGAAAACAAACAAACAAAAAATCAAAATGCAACTGTCCTGTCTGTCTAGTTTGGGGGCTTCTGCCTGCCCCTTTCAATCTGGATTGATCTTCCCCATTCATCACCACCACCCTTGATTGTACCCCCACTTTCTCTCAAGTGTCTTCCCCTCACTGCCCTCTTGCTACAATCGGACTTTCAGGCTGCTGTGAGTTAGTGCAGCCTAGTCTAATAAACACTGAGCTTCCAAGTCCCAGCACTGGTTCCACCGTTACAGCTGATCTGTCACCTGTAACAAGTAGGACATACGAACAGTCATGGTGAGATGATGCATTCCCAGGTAAACTGCCCGCTGAAGAATGGCCAGCAGATGGGAGTTGGCTTATGTCTTCGATTGTTCTCATCTTTTCCGTAGACCAAACTGGCACAACTCTAAACCTCCAGTGTCTAACATGATGAACATCTGCAGATGATGGGTGAGCTGTTGACTAAGGACCATTGAATATTTAGTAGTGGTGGTGTGGGTCACTGGGCACTTTCAGCGTTTCAGCGTGTACTTGTTGCCTCTCCTGACTTCTCCCAAGTTTAATAGCCCTGTCCCCTGGGGTCTGAAAAGAACCCTTTCCTTCCAGCTGCATCTCAGTCTTGGCTCTGGAGGACAGTCCCAGCGTGGGGACTGAGCATGCTCCTGGCCAGCTTGGGCTGGATGGGGCCGGACTTCTCCGGCCCAGCATCTTGCGCCCTCCACAGGCCGGGCTGGCTGGCAAGAGAGCCTGCGAGCAGGCGGGGTTTGGCCTCAGGGCAGCCTGGTGCGTCTAGGCTCTTCTGGCGGACAAGGGTGGGGGACAGGAGCGGCACCTCCCAGCCAGTCGCACAGCCTACCGCCCTGCGCAGAGGCTGCAGGAACGGAGCCGAGCGGCAGGGAGGGCTCTCTAGGCCTTGAGCGCGCGCTGTGTGGTGCTGGAGTCTGGCCTTAGGTCCCGGTGGGGGAAGGAGAAGCGCAAGGGCGCTGAGGTGAGCAGAGATCGGGGACCCAGCCAGGGCTCAAGTGCAGGCTCCCGTTCTTCTCTTAGGCAGGGCAAGAATTCCCTTAACCACATTCACAACCTTGCCTCGGGCACCTTAGCTGGGGCTGCCAGGAGGCCGCGGTGGCCGGGCAGCTGTTGCACCAAGAGGGGGCAGCTGCGGAGTTCCATAACCATAGCAACCGCATCAGTACCAAGGCGGCAGTGGCAGCGGCGGCGGCGGCAGCGGCGGCGGCGGCGGCGGTGAGGGCAGCATCCGCTTGCTCCTCCTCCAGGCAGCCTCACAGTGGAGACCTGAGACATAGCTCGCAGGTGCCGCGGACTCCTTGGTCCGCCCACAGTCGCTGCCAGTGTTGGCTGCTGGAGAAGGTGAGAAGAACAGAGTGGGACCAGAGCTGGAACTGGGCCCTAGGAGGTGAGAGAGAGCCCTGCAGTGGCAGACAGGTAGGTGAGAACACTCTGGGGTCACCAGCTGTAAAACTCTCTCCTTTGTGGCAGTGACGTTTCTGGAAGCGTGGATGCTAGTTGGATGGCTTTCTCTTACTAAGTGGGGATTCTGCCGCGAAATGTGTTTTTATCTTTCTCTATTTTCTCCCAGATATCTCTGTCCTCTGATCTTGCCCCACATGTGGGCAAGTCTTGAGAGGATAAGAAGGAACACTGATGTGACTGGGTGAATTAGGTGGTTCCCCAGGGGCTCATTTAGACCTGTCTGTTCAGGTCCTTTGAGCCACTGAACCCAGGGCAAGCTCAAGAGAAGATCTTGTTGAGATGGAGCGGGCTATGGTCTCTGTTCTATGTGGGGCAGTCTGACTCAGAGACCATCTCTTTTAGGGGTGGGGTGCAGTGTAGTTCAGCTGTGGCACAAACAGGGACCATAACACACAACAGCTCTTTATATGTAAAACCAGCTTTAAACACAACCACTGCAGGGGGTATTTAGACAAGATAGTAGCAACTCTTAAGCTTTGGGAACCAAGGAGTACCCCTGGAGTTTACTGTGCTATAGATAAGATGCTTTGGTTGTTGGGAGATCGGATGGTAACTGAAATAAAATTTTCAGCCAGTGTTGAGAAGAGAGCCTCTTACATTCTCCTCACCTACTTTCTCTTCCCTCCCTGATGCCAGCAAAACAAAAGCTGGATGGTGCTCAGAGACACCCTCTGGCCCTTGGCCACTGAAAAACCACCCCACCTTTAGACAGCTAGAGAAAAGCACCCCACTTCAATCCCTAATATAAACTAGCAGGCAATGTTTTCCACTGGGTTCCAATGCTCTTAATATTAAGTTTATTTTAAACCCTAAATTTACTTGAAGTATATACACTATATAATGGACTGTTAACTGCATCTTTGGGCCAGGGAGAGGGCTGGAGTTTTTGGCACACGACTAAACCCAGTTTGTTGGGGAGAAGAACCCCAGAAGACCCGATGGGAAGAACACATTGTGTTAGATGAGTAGTTTGCATTAAAACCTCGTCATAGAGTTGAGCAGATTTTTGAAGAATTTCCAGGATGGGTAGCCACTGACTGTGAATGGATTCTCTTTTTATATCCTAGCCTCAGGGGACTGTGGTAAGACCCAGTTAAAAGGGTATGTTCTTTAATTGGGCTTTTAATTTATGATGTAGTTATGTTACCCAAGAGGATGTGATCTGGCCAGCATTTCATCTGGGGATTTATACCACAATGAGGGCAATATATTATAGGGAGATGGTACACTGTAGTGTAGAGGAAAGAGGGCAAGATTCTGGAGTCAGAAGTGGGTCTGAACTCTGGTTTCATCATACACCTGTTGTATGACCTTGAATTGCTCCTACCTTATTGGGACTTCTCTCGTCTACAGAATGGGATTCTAGCAACCCTTAGAGTTTGCTAGGCTCTTGTAACAACCAAATATGATGGTAGAGGATACACTTGGGGAAGGATCTTAAATCCCGATGACTAATGCCATTTTAAGAAAAGCATCATTTTCTAAAGAAAAAGCCTCAGATTAGTAAGGCATTACATAGATATCACCTATGGAAAAAGTGGAAAGATTAGTCAGTGAGTCATGGCTGGAGTACTGTCTTGTTCCAGAGACACCTGGGCAATATAAAGAGGGCTTTATGGGGGTAAACACTGAGTGTCCTCCTTGTTTATGTCTGCTGAAGGTCAAGAGCTTTGCCATGGAAGGTGGTGCTCCATCCTCTTCAAACAGTTTGTTCTGTGCAGCACAGAGTGGACCAAGCGTCTGATAGTGCAAAGGGACACTGGCCAAAAGTGAGGAGTTCTTTAAACGCTGCACACACTGTGGGTTCTTTGTGAGCTGCAAGTATTTCAGTCCAACTCTGCTCTGTAACGCCAGATGTATTTGATGAGCCTGACCAAATCCGTACAGTTTGATTTCACTGCTGAGGGAACTGTCATATCTGAAAAGAGCCAGGCCTGGTGTTCAGCTCTTCCCTGCTTGTTTGCACTTCTGCATTTGCCCATGCTGGTGTCTTTGTGGAAAGTAACCATTTCTCACTTTCTTCTTCTTTTTTTTGTGGCCCAGTACCAAGGCTCCATCATCTCTGGAGCCTTCCCTGGTCCTTTCACATGCTTCCCTGACACTCTGTACCTGTTGTGACTGGCAGACTGTGCTGTGTCATTGCCTGTACACACGTCTTTTCTCTCTAGACTCCGTGCTCCATGAGGGCAGGGCTTCTGCCCACCCTGCCTCCCTTGTGGCCCCACAACCGATGGTGAATGGTGCTGAGTGAGAGAATGGGCTTTATCAGCAATCTGACCACCTGTCCTGGGAGAGGTGCTACAAAACCTGTCCCAGGGACCTTCCTGTCTCAGGGTGCTGCAGCAAGCTTGAGGGATACTTGCTGGTCTCCTGTGCATCATTTAGGGTCAGCCTGCTGAAGCAGAGTGAAAGGGAACATAGTCACAAACTTTGTCCCAGAATGTCCATTTCTTTTCAAGAGACACTTTAGAATTGTTCTAGTCTGGCACTAGATGGCTTTCATATAACATTTGCTGAGCATTTCAGATAGGGTATGTTAGATTTAGAATGTATTTCTGTTCCTCCCGCTTAACTCTTTTAACAGCTTTCATCAAATGGGAAGCCGTATAAACAGGCTGCAGAAAACCTATGACTGAAACCAGTTCCTAAGAGGACTGCAAGCTGGGGTGCTAGACTCCCCTTTTGCCTCTGTTTCCTCATTTGTAGCATATGACTGTTGACATCAAACTCACAGTTGATGCTGAACACTTAGAGAAAAGTAATAGCTTTGCAGAAAATAAAAACCTTCCCATGACCCACAAAGTACTTCACACAAGCACATGCTCTCTTTTACCTCATTTCTTCTAGAAAATGAGCATCATCCCTGAGTTTAATTGCACAGTATCAGATGAGGTGCACTCCAAAGCCCTGCCTCCTCTTCTTGTTAGCTCTCTGTGACCTTCAGTAAATCATTCTATTCCCTTAGCCACTTGCCTTCTCTGTAAGATATCATAATGATGGTTACTTTCCCAGATAGGCTCAGAAGACATAAAGTAAGAAAAATGGCATGTGACTTCCCAATGAAAAATATAGTTGCCAATTATAGAAGGTTCTGGAATTATTTTAAATGCCCCAAATCTATTTCTTTCCTGTATTTCATCTACAAAAGAGACATTGAAATTGATGGGTGGAGGGAAGGAGGGAGGAAGGAAGAGAAAAACAGACAGAGGAAAGGAGGGAGGGAAGGAGGAGAAGGAGGAGGAGAGAGAGAGGGGTTCTGCTTTCTGATTCAGGAATGGGTTCTGCTTCTGACATTGCTTACAGGACTGTTGACCTGTCCCCCATTTTCAGACCTCATTTCCATCATCTATAAATGGTCTGGAGTATTTCAGTGGCCCTGCTTACTTGTCTTTCAGTGCTCATATACACTGACCTGTGCTTTCTTCACTGGGGTTTCATCTGTAGTCTTCCATCTCTGATTCTCCATCTATCCTCTCCATCAAACCTTAGAACTTGTCCAAAACCTCTACACTTCAAAGCCTAATGCCACCACTGCCCCCAGAAACTCTTTTCTTTCCTTGTGAAGCTAGGGTGTTGAACATGATCTTTGGCCTTTGGGATTTGTTGGGTACCTCATTCCAACCTTCCTTCAGGTAAAATGTTTTGCTGCACTGTCCAGCCTGCAAAAAGCCCTTTATTTAATCAACTGGAAAGTGTCTATATGAATTCTGATATTAATGGAGATAGCTAGTGGAATTCATGCCATCTCTAATGTTTTTGGGTTTCCTGGATCATGGGTGCTCAGCAATGTTGAATGTTTCTGCTAAACCACAGACCATTTTTAGGCGGCTGCATTGAAGTCTCTGAAGTTGTAGCAGAGGATGATTGCAACGTCACAAAGGTGGCTGACACTATCAATCAATCTGTGTGACCTTCCACCTTTGGTGTGGGTGGAGTAGGATCCTGCTCATTCTGTGTGTGGAATTGATGCAAACTTCCTTGTCCTCTGTCCTTTCTCATGCCAGGCCCAGAAGTTCCACCATGAACTGGGCAAGGGCCTGCCAATCAACTTAGCATTTGTTTCAGGTATGAAACAGAAACTGCGAGGAATGCACTAGGCCAAGTTCAGGTTATATGAGCCAGGGGAATGGTCTTCTACCTGTTTCCTGGGAGAGGCTGTCAAGGTTAGTTTTGTATAATAGAAGAGATCTAAGCTCAGGCTTAAAAGAATTTGCGTATGGAGAGTGGAGGAAAAGCCAATGGGTATAGAAGGTGACATGCAAATAGAACAAGAAGGGCCATGAGTTGAGATCTGGTGAGTTGGAGAGAGGTGAAATCACTGAGTCTGTGAACCAGCCTGGAAAGTGTCCTCTCTCCCCTGAAGGTCGTGGGAGGCCATAGAAAGAGTTCTCTCTTCTCTCCAGATGCAGAGTAGAGGATAGAGAAGCTAGATCAAATGAAACATAGGATGGCCTAATAGGTAGCCTTGTAGGTAAGAGTTGCTGTCAATCAGGCCGTGGGACCTGGGATGCAGAGAATAGGAGGCAGCGAGTTGTGTGATAATGATGCCAGAGAAGTGAACATAACTGCTTCATTTCTCAGATAAATGTTTGAGTGGAGCATTGTAGGGACTGGGGAGCACTGAGGGAAAAGAAGGGAAGGGGCACAGTTGTCATCCTGGCTATCTTTCCAGACTCACTACAATCACTCTGGATCTGGTCCCATCATACTTTAGCTAGACTAATCAATTAGGCTCTGAGTTGACACTCTGGCCTCCCCGGTGAGCCTCTGCACACAGCAGCTGGCTAGATGGTTGGAAAATTGAAATCAAATTTGATAAATCAAAGCCCTTCTGTGTTTTTGTAACCCACAGCTGAAAAACCTCTCTCCAAACTTTAACCTATTCCCACCCCAAGATAGACCCTTATCATAGCCGCTATTACTGTCCCCACCTGTCACCACATTCATTTTTT